TACTCTTATCAACATTTAAAGCACTATCGACATACTCCTAATCAAACATACCAAATATATACGATAAAGGGGTGTTAGGTATATAATACTATTCACTAGTGATAACTTCTTTTTTGGTCATGCTTGGCATATTTGGCATTCAGTAACTTGTGGCTTTGGTGATGTATTTCATGAAGAGAATAAAAGAAATGAAGTACGTCCTTTAAAGTCAATTTGGGATGGTTTTTGAAAAGTTAAAATGAGTTTCTGAGACTTAAAAGTTACTCGTGACTTATTTGGCTAATTTTATGAAAGTGTTTTCAATAGTTATGGAAACTTTTAGGGGAAGTTGATCGATTTGGCTTACTCTAAAAGCACTTCTGAAATAGGAAGTGCCCTTAAAAATTGATTTAAAAAAAAAAAAGAATTAAGATAGTTTCCTCCACGAGCTCTTTTACATGAAGCAAAAGAAAAGTTATGTCAAACGGGTCTTTAGTCTAGTCAATATCCATAACTTCCGTATCGACACGTCTTTACTAAATTAATTAACTTAACAACTAAGTGATTTCATAAGTTGAGATTTCCTTAACCAGCTAACCTAGTATCCTTAGAGCTCTATTTCTTAATAGCTTGATTGAGTGAATTCATAACCTCAACATACTTTCTTACATTATAATAGGCCTTCGAACTCGCCTTTTAAATATTAAAATACGTGTCACGCTCTTAGAAAAAAGGGTACCATCACAAAATCCATAGTGGCCACAAAAAGCATATTTGGTGCAATTGGCACAATTAAATAGTATAAAGATTAAGATTGTTTTAATTTTATCCAAAATCCATTGTGGCCTCACAAAATCCATTGTGGCCTCACGCTTTTATTTTTTGCTTTTTCTTCATATTGACAAATTTTATCCAAGTTGAACGTTCGTCTCTGCTGTGAACGTTTGTCTCTGTCGCCTCTCTCTTCGACGTCGGCGATGTTCGTCTCAACCTCCTCTTTCTTTTTTTCTGTGGTTTTTTTTTTTTTGACGTTTTTTGGTTGTACTGATTTTGGTGGTGGTAGATGGTTAATGATGGTGTTGATTGTGGTCGATTTTGGAAGATGTTGAAGGTGGTTGTGGTGTTGATTTTGGCAGTGCTATGAGGT